TTTCCCACTGGCAGCCACCGGGCCTAGAAGACAACTGACCCTTGTCTGTCAATAGGGCAATCAGTCAAACCACTTTCCCCATAAAACCAACAGGACATTTGTTGGCACTCTGCTGAACCTGCCCAGAACAGCGTCCACCCCCCGTTCACATCCTATTCCCCTATGAGTGAGCGTGAAGGAATGACTGGAAGGATGAATCATCTTTTTTAAATTATTGATATTGTTAACATTCTACGCTACCATTAACAAAAGCCAGACCATTTTCAAACCTAAGTGTTTTGTCCTTGCATTTCAGGGCCTACCCGAGGTGATTGGGTCCCAGCATCTCAACAGACAGACGGACATTCTCCTTATCTTCAAAATCCTTAAACAATACCCGACTGGGAATCGGACTCAGGTCTACAGTGTGCATGGGTGAGTGTCTAACGGCTACACCATAGACGCTGATAATGGAGAGAATACAGAGAGAGAAGAAAAAGATAATGCGCACGAATAATCATCATAATCTCTCCTATATAAACAGAATGAGCTTATTATAACTGCAATTGACTGCAATATTTCTGAGCCTCCAGTATCACACTATAACAATTAATATTTTGGAGTACTATTTGTTTCAGTATCCTAGAGCTTAGGGGGTTACTGACTGAAAGATATTTACTACACAGATCACATTTACGTACACAGCCGTTTTAGTGGTATAGAACGTCAGCTCTCTTAATGTCTAACAGATAGCAACGTACCATTTTCAAACTGTACTGACTAGAGCGACCTCATATATAGAATTGATCACTAAGTGGGTCGTTGGCGGGTGCTCTGGTGTGGTTTACTCCTTCTGTCATATCAAACATCTGTAGTCCTTACCTTTCCTCCCTACTTTATTCGTATGTTACTATTTAAAAAATAAGCACATCAAAAACAGAAGTTATGAAAGTAAGCCGAAACCGTAGTCCCCTGAAAATCCATGTCAATAGCAGAAAACTGAAACAGGAGAAGGAGTTAAAGTATCTTGGCAGTACTTTTTCTGAAAACGGGTCCATGAACAGAGAAATAGAAATGCGAACTCAAGAAGCCAACGGTGTCAACTACCAGCTCGCACCCCTCCTATCTCATCCAAACATCTCCGTGGACATAAAGAGACAGCTTATCTCCTCAATATTCATATCAACATTATGTTATCAATGCCAGACCTGGACATTCAATAAAACCCATGAAAGCAAAATCACAGCATGCGAAATGAAATGTCTCCTCAAAACAAGACGAGACAGGCAGAGAAATGAAGAAGTAAGAGCAGCTATCGGCATCGAGCCCTGCCTGCATTTCATAGAAAGACAGAGAATGAAAAGGTTTGACCACCTGTTACGTATGTCACCTGGCCAGCCAGCCTCGGGGCCTACAACAGCAAGCACTCAGGCAGTAAAGGAAGAGGAAGGCTATGCAACAGAGGATGAAAAAGTAAAAATAAAAGTAAAGTAAGACTATTTAGAAACACCTTCGGTACTCAGACCACACGACCTGACTGTGTTGCACGCGTCATACATTTTTTTTAACGAAAACTAAGAATTTTGACCAGAGGGGCGAAGGGTCTTCTCTTTTCGATTTTTGAAGCGCTCAGGGATCTTTTATTTCCATGACCTCTGAATGTTTCGTTCTAGTACGAGATGAAAAGATGCTCGACCCTACCTTCCTTGTGATCAGGGGCATGTGATTAAAAACAATTCATTTATATTATGTAATTAAAAAAATGATCAAATTTGTTAATTGTACGGGTTTGTTCATTTGCATATACCGTGCCTAATCCCGAGAGCTCAATTCCAATAGACTATACTTTGCAACATAATCCTATATACTTGTTGACAGAAGACAATCTAAGCAGTATTATCAATGTAAACATCGGGTCAGGTTGTCACTTATACTGATCTTATTTCTGTATATCTAGATCTAGATGTTTTTAAAAACATCTTTAAAGGCAGTTTTTCTTCAACTCACCCACCAAGTTCGAGTGGCTGAAGGAAAAAAAAATTGAGAGTGTGAAGGGGAGGGCAGCATTTTCTAAACACATAGGTCTCCACGAGATCAGCACACTGTCGCTTGCATTGTGGGGTCGATAATGTTGACGGTTGAGAGAGGACAACGACGTGACCAATCCGATAACTTCAAACAAGAAAAAAAGTAGCTTTCAACTTTCAATGAATTGTTATGTTTATAAACTGGGAATGATTAAGAATTGCTCCAAAACTCATTTCTCAGGCCTGTCAGTGAAGTGGTTAAATAACAACGCTGTCGGGAAACGCTCTCCGGGCCACCAGGTTGACAGGCAAACACCAAGCCTGTTGAGCAAGTGAACCTACAGATATACATATAATATAACATAAA